GAAAGATTTTTCGAAAGAATTTCACCGTATCGAATGAATATTTATCTATCCTTCGAAATGATCTTTTTAACGAGGTTAGAAAGAAAAAGTGTGTGTGTGTGCTTTATTTTGACTCTAATTTATATTTTTTGCCAAAAATATGAGTGAGGAAACTTCAGTGTGTATCGAAACATTAGACGAGGAATATTTATATAGGAATATATAACAAGCGCAATATTTGTTACTTTTCTTCTTCACGAGAGGGTAATTTCGAGGGAAAAGAGCAATGGAATTCTCTATATATTCGTCGTGAATCCGTTTCCTAGGAATATTATATTAACACTTTGCTCTCCAGCGGTGACTCTCACTGGGATTGTTGCGGCAATTTGAACGGCGACAATATTTATTTATTAGTTTGATTTTTTCAGAATATCGCTTCATGAATAGGTTCCTAACTTATCTTATGAGTAATTATCTTATAGTAATCTTATGAGGCAACCGAACGCGCGGGTCTGAGTCTGGAGTTGCTGCGAAATAGGCCTGGAGTGCGAAGGGTTAAGATATGGGATCGTTCGATTTTCGGTTTTAGAATGGTTCGTGTGAACGAAGAAGCTTTTTTATTCGAGTATTGGATTTTTTGGAAGACGATTCCTTGGCGAAAAATAATATGCAGAGGAACATAGACATCTCGTCGAAGGATCTAATTATTCTTCGAAATAATCTTTCGGCGAGGTTAAAAAAATTCTCCGCGCTTGTTGTCTAATTTGTCACGAGGAAATGAAACTTCCGTTTTTTTTTTTTTACGTGTGAAATATCGAAATATTAAACCAGGAATATTTTCATTAAATTTAATGGAATAATCGCGTTAAATGTGATGGTGAGAAGTGGGATAAAGATCGTACCACGCATGGTGTATTGACGATGTCGTATTTGATCTTGAAAGCGGCCGACGTGACGTTCTTGAAAGGGATCGTCTGAGGATTATCCTCGACGCAATACGGATCGATCAGATCCTCCTCCTTCACTTCCTGCGTTCCCCCCCTTGCACTCGACGAAATTAATTCTCGTCCAATAGCGTGGCGTAACGTGATAATTACGTGATGAATCGTTATCGAACTCGTAAACGAACGGTTACGAAAAACGCGCCCGTATGAAAATGGCAACATGTAACCCCTCGACGTAAAACGAGACGAAAACACACAACGTTCGATTCCTCCCGTTCCATTCTTTTTCGAAGCCGATCCGTTCTACTCGAAACTATGCGCAATGAGCACAGATGTCGCTACGCACAAACGATCGAGCACCGTTTCGAACATCCTCCGACAAATTCTTGTCTCCCAACTTGCATTCGACGGAATTAATTCTCATGGCGTAACGTGATACGAGAAACGAAAAACGTGCTATAAAAGTGGCACAACAAGTAATCCTTTAAAATCGTAAAATGATCTGCGAAAGGGTGGAATTGCTCTTGTTTTCGTGCTATTTCTGCCCAACCAAAATTGAAATTGATAATCAATTTGGCAGGTGTTTATACCTCGATGCGCGTTGCGAATCTAGTCTTCGAATCTTATTTGCTTCTTCGAATGCAAATAACGCGGGGAGATTGCTCGTTTGAAACAACTATCGTTTTTTGAGACAACTAGTTATTTCATTCTTGTAGGAACTTTTCTCGCTAGTTGAATTATGGAATAATAATTCGTATAATGGAAATCAATAAAGTACCCAGTTTTCTCTGATTTGCGGGATGAGAATTATTTCAATCGGTAAAATTGAAACATTGTATACTTTGTTTTGATAGTAATTCTTGTACAACAGGTATATAAATTTTCGATCCAAAGATTCGTTCCTCGATCGAATACTCTATCTAGTCTATCGATTCCGCAATATTCTACAAAGTGAATTAAGTTTATACAAATCAAACGCTGCTTTCTCTCTTAATACTAATTTTCATATTTTTATAATGATATATATAAATATCCAAAGGAAAGATCGTTTTCTTCGATCGAAAAATCCATTGATTCTGAGATGTTTAATGATTCTTGTTCCCAAAAATCAAACTCTGTACTCTCTCTTAATTATAATTTTCGTATTTTTACAATAGATATATAAATAACCGATCGAAAGAAAAGGAAAGATCGTTTTCTTCGATCGGTTCTGGGATGTTCAAAGCGATCTCAAATTATTCCCAAAAATCAAACTGTGTGCTCTCTCTTAATTATAATCTTCTCTCTTAATTAAATTTTTGTATTTCTAAAATAGATCTACAATAGATATAAATATCCTATCGAAAGAAAAGGAAAAATCGTTTTCTTCGATCGCATTCATCGATTTTGGGATATTCAAAGCGATCTCGAATTGTTCCCAAAAATCAAACTCTCTATCCACTAATTAATAATAACTTTCGTATTTTTATAATAAAGTATTACATAAATATCTGATCTAAAGGGAAAGATCATTTTCTTCGATCGCATTCATCGATTCTGGGATGCTCAAAGCGATCTCGAATTGTTCCCAAAAATCAAACTGTGTGCTCTCTCTTAATTATAATCTTCTCTCTTAATTAAATTTTTGTATTTCTAAAATAGATCTACAATAGATATAAATATCCTATCGAAAGAAAAGAAAAGATCGTTTTCTTCAATCGCATTCATCGATTCTGAGATGCTCAAAGCGATCTCGAATTGTTCCCAAAAATCAAACTCTGTGTTCACTAACTAACAATAACTTTCGTATTTTTAATAAAGTATTACGTAAATATCTGATCAAAAAGAAAAAATCGTTTTCTTCGATCTCAAAACCCATCGCGATCCATCGATTCTGGGACGATTCAAATTCTCGAATCTCCTCCTAATCATCAGAAGTTTCGAAGCCGAGAGAGAGAGCGAGTTACACGCTCACAGGCAAATTCAGCGTAGCCACGTCGCTGGTCCCGAACACGACCTTCTGATATTTCTGATACAACATGTTCTTCAATTGTTCCGCGTGTTCCCGATTCCTGGTCTCGCAGACCACTTTCACGTCCACGCTGAAGATGTCCGACATGATCCAAGCCCGCTCGTGCATGATGTCCTTTATCGAGACACCGATGCTCGCCAGCATTCTGCAAAGCTCCGCGATTCCGCCGGGTCGATCGGATACGGTCACTGTGAACTTCAAAAGCCGGCCTTCCGCCGCCAGTCCGCGGTCCAAACACCTGCCGAGGATCGTCGTGTCGATGTTTCCGCCCGACAAAGGCAGCACCACTCTACAAAACGAAAATCAAAGGGGCGAGTCGTTACCACTCTCTTTGACAATCGCGTACTGACAATACCAGGTATTAAACACGCAATGTGTAATAATAGTCAATTTACGTGAATTGCTACGATTGGACCAACAATTCAGCGTATTAATGGGACACAAGCTCGACGAGTTCCATTTCCAATTTTTCATTAAAGAAAAAACTAATCTATTCGATAACCTGTCTTGGTTTATATTTTGTTTTTAGCATTAAAAGTGAAATAATTAAATACGAAGTAATACGAAGATATTAATGATCAGGAGCAACCTTTTTCCTTTCAGCTCCTCCAATTGGCCGGCCAAGATGGCGGCCAATCCAGTGGCACCCGCGCCCTCGACGATACACTTCTCGTTCTCGACCAGTTTCAAGATCGCGATCGCGATCCATTCTTCCTTCACCACCACCAACTTGTCGATCAACGGATTCGCGGTCGCAAAGGCGTTGTATCCCACCACTGGGACGGCCAAACCGTCGGCCAATGTCGAATCTATACGAGTGTACGTCGGTCGATCCGCCTTTCGTGCCTTGTAGAAACTGGGACACTTTTCCGACTCAACGCCCTGTGAAGATTAGCCGGAGGGGAAAAAGCGATATAAATGTTATCCTCGAGGGAGGAGGGAAAAAAATAGGAAAGATATCATCACTCACGATAATCGTTACGTTCGGATGAAGGTTTTTCACGGCCAGAGCTACGCCCGCGATCAAGCCACCGCCTCCGATCGGTACGACCACAGCGTCTATGTTGGAAACTTGTTCCACGATCTCGAGGCCCAGCGTTCCTTGCCCCGCTATAACGTCCGGATAATCGTATCTATCGAAATGATGAATTTAGTAAATAAGGAGAAAGAAGGAATATTTATAAAAATAACAACAAATGTGTACAAATTTTTTTATCCATAGCCAATGATGAGCAACAGTTGGAATTATGATAATTTATTTTTAAATAACCTGGAAATAATTGTAGCAATTGCCTAAGTTATATGATCAAATATTAGTCGCTGGAAATAACTTTTTATTCGAAAATTTTAATTTTTTTTCTTTTTTTCTTTCTACGCCCAATTCAATTCGTAGCGGCAAGTAGAATATGTATACCCATTTATATACGTCAGCCCTTTCTCCTTGGCCCGTCTAAGCGCGATACGCCTCGCCTCTTCCATGTCGAGGCCATCGACGATCACGTTCGCGCCGTATTGGCGACAAGCGACGATCTTCATGATAGGCGCAATCACGGGCATCACCACGGTCACAGGTATACCGAGCTTGTACCCGTGATAGCATAGCGCACCGGCGTGGTTACCCAACGAGGCCGAGATCACGCCGATCTTCTTCTGTTCCTCGGACAGCATCACCAGGGCGTACCTCGCCCCGCGCTCCTTGAAGCTTCCGGTTACTTGGAGGAAATCTTTCTTCAGGTATAGATCCACGCCGATCGTATCCGACAGCCGCGATTTCTGTGCAACAAGCTCTGTATTTTTATTCAATTTTTTTTGTATATCTTCGTCGTGATGTCGAATCAGGTAAGGGGATTGAAGAAACTTTTACTCGCGATTTTTTGAAAGATTTTTCGAAAGAATTTCACCGTATCGAATGAATATTTATCTATCCTTCGAAATGATCCTTTTAACGAGGTTAGAAAGAAAAAGTGTGTGTGTGCTTTATTTTGACTCTAATTTATATTTTTTGCCAAAAATATGAGTGAGGAAACTTCAGTGTGTATCGAAACATTAGACGAGGAATATTTTAATCAAGCTCGATGGTACGGTATTGATATTAATAACCGTGATAACGAAGCGTAAATAAATCGTAATACCACGCATGGCGTGTTGATGATCCCGCATTTGATCTTGAAAGCGGCCGACGTGACGTCCTCGAAAGTGACCCTCTGGGGATTATCCTCGACGCAATAGGGATCGTTCAGCTCTTCCTCGTCGTTCTCTTCCTGCAAACAGAAACGCACACACTCGCCCACTGATTTTCCCAATCTTTTTCTTCCCAATTCAAAACCCAATTCCGTTCTCTACTCCACCCTCGAAACTCTATATTTGACCAATGTCGCAACGACATGCACTAAGAAACCGGATCGAACCGCACCGTTTCGTTTCAAAGGCGCGTTAACACCCTCCCCTCTCCCTTCCATTCGACGAAATTAATTCCCATCCCGTGATCAAATCCGCGCGCGACGAGGTGAATCAACAATTACTTGGGGAATCGTTGTTGTCGACGAGTCGAAATCGTTGCTCCCGCTCTCGGCGATCAGATCGAACTCTTCACCGTTCTGATTCAAATTTCTCATGATGCGGTCCGGCGCGTGGTGGTTGGTCGCGAACGGGAAAAATGGACTGCGCGTAACGCCGATCGATCGCGTGTTACTTATTCGATCGTGGAAGGCCGTCGCGTCGTCCGACGTTTATCCTTATCTCCGCGACCCTCGACCCCCTTTCCCTCCCCCGGGGAAGAGAGAGAGAGAGGAAGAAGAGAATCGAAAGTCTCTCTCTCT